TTCTCTCTGGGATACCTGACCCTCCTGGGATACATCCCGCTCATGGGTGCTCCTTTTCTTAGTCTTCTATTGAGAAAGATGGGGTTTCTCTCCACTGTAGGTGTCAGTGCCACACCTGCTGCAGCACGGCTGTGATGGGGGCCCAACCCCCTTGGTTTGAGAGAAGGAAATGAGAAAGTCACCCCTACACAGATTGCCTTCCCTACATTTAACTGCTCTCCCCAAACCACCTACTTTTGTTACTTTTCATTAATTGCGTTTATATTGTACTTTGTCCAGTTTTTTTGTTGTTGTAATTGGCAGGAGAAAGAGGCTATAGCTTGCATAATCCATCTTGCCCAGCCCCAGAAGGCCTGAGTCAATCACTACCTAGTTTGGTTTCCTATGCTACATGGCAAATACCACTAAATGTCGTGGCTTAAAGCAGTGCACATCTATTGCATGGTTTCTGTGGGTTCAGGAGGCTGCACTCACCTGGGGCCTCTGTAAAGCTATGCAGTCAAGGCCAGGGCTAGGTTTTCATCTGGAGGCTCTGCTGGGGAGCATTTGGCATCCAGGCTTCCTCAGGCTGCTGGCTGAATGCCATTCCTTGCAGCAGTAGGATTCATAACAGCTTGTTTCTTCAAACCCAGCAGCCAAGAGGGAGACTCTAAAGCCAGTCTGCTAGAAAGTTGGAGTCTTATGTAACACAGCCAGGAAGTGGCATACACTTTTGCCATACTCAAATGGTTAGAAGCAAGTCACTAATCTCTCTCATACGCCACGGGAAGGGATCGTACAAAAGTGTGGAAATCAGGTGACCATAGAGCCTGTCAACCACAGGTCTTCTTCTGGTCCTGTTGGTCAGAGCCATTTGGCAATGAGTTACCTTTTCCACTCCAAGTCCAGGTGTCATGCTGAGTGACTTAAGCATTCTTACAGGTAGTCCATCTGATATACTGGCTTACAGACTTTGGACCTTCTGTGTACCAGTGACCTTATTTTACTTTAGAACCCAGTCCTCATGACTCTAAATCCCAAGCATACTCTCTATTCTGTTTCTTTCCATAGTCTATAGAGTCTTAAATATAATTAAAGCTTTACCTTGTCTTTCCTTTTAGATTTTATGCTCAAGGCTAAGATTATTTTGTCTTACCCTTCTCATACTGCCCACAAAGGTCTAGCAAATACTTCCTGCTCATAGCAGGTAGTCAAACACATGTTGAATAAATTAAGACCTTAACTATTTCTATGACAACTGCATAGCATACCATTTCCGTCCCCTTCTCTTTTTAATTTTGTCTGATAACATTTTACCAACCCTTCCTAACATAAACACTGAAAGGAAATTCTAATTGAATTAGTCAGTTTCAAAATAGTGGCATGTAACACACGCTTTCTCTCTCTCTCCCCCTCTCCCCCTCCTTCTTTGTCCCTTACATACACACACACACACACACACACACACACACACACACACATATGTGAATATTTTGATAACATGACATTGGAGTCTAGCCAGTATAAATTCAGAGTATAGTCTCTGGTGTTCTTTGTAGGTGAGACTGAAAATGAGAAACATTTACAGTTTCTGGTAGCTAAAACTCAAAGACAAAAACAGGCCCCTGCCCTCTTTTATTGAATTCTCTTCTTTTACAAATATAGCAAATAGTCAACTAACAAAAAGACTGGTAATTTATAACATTTTTCATTCAGAATAGTTTTGCATGAGGTGGCTGGATTCCCTACCTACCTACATAGTTTGACCTTTTGAATCATTATTTATCTTTCTCCATCAAACCCTCTGAAAAAAATAGAAAAATCATTGTTTGATTTATTTTAGGAAAATCTACAGTTTAACTAGGAAAACTGAAATGATAGCCACAGAGGCCCACTTGTGGGAAATCTTCTTACCCCTTCCTCCTCCTAGCCGCCTCCAAAATATGAGTCTTACTCCTTTTTCTACCCAGAGCCTCCTAATCTTGTGATTGCTAAATTATTTGAGAATAAAACAAACAAATGGAAAACCCAGGCTATTAAAAAATTTTTCTTTCTAGTAAAACTCAATACAGAGGGATCCTTTATAGTATGCCTCACCATATGAGTTATAGGTAACTTATATCCAATTTGGCCCTTCAGACTTGCCCTGGGCCCAGCAGTTGAGTCCATATCTGATTTCCTCCTTACCTAGTTCCCATTGCTACTGAAACATAAGCTGAAATGCCAATTGAAGGATGCTGTTCTCTTCAGCAGAGCTGTGTATGACAGCTGGAGTTCTTTGTAGTGGCAGTAAACTGGAAATGAAGTGAATATGTATGAATAGAAGAATGACTGAATAATATGGTAACATTCACACAGTGATACATTATGGAGCCATTAGAAATAACAGATTGGATCTGTCAGTGGGGGAGGGGGAGAGGAGGGAGATCCTCCTTCCCTACAAGTATTGAATGAGAAGAGCAAGATGCAAGGAAGTTTATGTAACGTAATCCCAGTTATGCCAGCAATGATCTGATAAAATCTTTGTAAAAATGTATAAGTATGTATGTTTTAATATAATTACATGAGCAGGGACAAGAACGCAGATAGGAACTGGGTGGTTTTAACGTGGGACATGGGGGGAGCAGATATTTGGCATGGATATGCAAGAGGGAGCAAGAGTGGATAAGGGATGCCAAGCACGTCAGAAACAGGAAAGCAAATTGTCATCCGCAGGGGTGGGTGGGGGGAGCATGATAAGATTATATTTACAAATGTTTGTTTATCATGTGTATTTAAATGTAATTTTAAAAAGAAAAAGTTCTGTGATGAAAAGTAAAATTCTCCCAGCCTGGCCATTCCTTTTCTTTATTATTCTTGCTTCTTGACTTATAAATTTATTTTACAACATAGAAAAAATACAAATTGACTCTCCATTTAATTGATACATTTGTTTTTTCCTCTTTGAATAGGTGAAAACACTTTTCAAATCCAAGTGTATATTCTTAGTAACTCTGCAAGGTGGATAGTAACTTTTTAAGTACTACTTGATCATGTCAGAAAATAAAGTTTTTCTTGAAAGTATACTTACAGAAGATTTTCTCTACTGTAAATTTCAGCTGAGATTATATACCAGAAATTGGTACTAGAAATGCCCTGAAGGGCAATACATTCTTCTCAGGGATGCAGAACAGAAGAGAGTCCTCCTACCAAGGCACTTATAGCCCAGAGGACAGGGGAAGCTCATAATTTCATTTAAAGCCAGGACATGTGGCTTCCCTGACTGTAACAGAAAGATAACCTTATAAGCAGGAGGCCAGCACCCAGGCAGATGTAGATGTTCATCTTGTCATATTCTCACTTCATTTTGTGCATGTTGCTGTTTTAATAGTGATGATTGTTTTACTCATTTATGTGAATATCCTTACAAGTATATGTATTCTTATCTTGCTTCCTGCTATAATTTCAGAGCACTTACAAAGCTATGGTTCAGGCTGGATGCGGTGGCTCACACCTGTAATCCCAGCACTTTGGGAGTCTAAGGTGGGAGTATCACTTGAGGCCAGGAGTTTGAGGCTAGCCTGGACAGCATAGTACAACCCCATCTCTGTTTATAAAAATAAACAAAGCTATTGTTCAGAAATTATTTATTAAATTAATCAGTCCCTGCCTACCTCCGTCCTTCTTCTCATCCCTGGTGCTTACCACAATAAATAGCACATGTTAGTTGTATAGTTTGCTGATGATTGAATTAGTAGACATGAGATAGACTTGAGGTATAGGCTCTCTAGGAAAAGAACTGATTAAAATAGCTCAGAGCAAAATGGAAGAGTCGGAAAGTAGAAAGATTCAGTGAGGACAAAGAGCAGGTGCTGTAGAAATAGTGGTAAGAATAGGAAGTTATGGTCAGAATGCAGGATAGTTGCATCTGCAATTTCAGCAGTGGAGCAATTCTGGGTGGTTAGGGTCTAGTAGCTAATACTATAGATAAAGCACCCTGGTGATCGAGGGGATGGGGGGAACTGCATGTTTTGGCATTTGAGGCTGTACTAGTAAAACAGCCAGTTCCCTACCTAATATCCCTAAAGCAAAACCCACTGTGAAGGAAATCCAGCCCATACAGACAAAGCTCCTAATTGGAATTTCAGTGCCTGAACAGACAACCAAGGATGACTACACAGTTGAGGAAAGGCTTTCAGATCAGAGAATCTCTAAGGGAAGAAGCATCCAGAGAAGAAACATAGATATGCAGAAAACTTAAGAAGATTTTCAGAAAAAAGAACAGAGATGATTTTGCATACCTAAAACAAGAACAGGGTGTTGTGGAAAAGGAGCATTCAAGAGCGCAAGAAAGTTATCAACAATTTTAAAGATCACAGTAAAAAACTCAGTAGAAAGATTAGAAGATCAAGTTGAATCAAGCATCCTCAAAATAGAAGCAATAACAAAGAGTAGAAAACAGCCACTGCACCTGGCCACATTTACAGATTCTTTATAAGGCAAATGCCGTTTATGGATTTGACTTAAAATAGTGATGCAGGTGAGAGCCAAACCCACAGTCATCGATACAGGAATTAAACTGTTAAGTTCTCAAATTAGGCTGGATTTGGTGGCTCACGCCTGTAATGCCAGCACTTTGGGAGGCCAAGTTGGGCAGGTCATTTGAGGTTAGGAGTTTGAGACCAGTGTGGGCAACATGCGAAACCCTGTCTCTACAAAAAATACAAAAATTAGCCGGGCGTGGTGGCACACGCCTGTAACCCCAGCTACTTAGGAGGTTGAGGTGGGATAATGGCTTGAGCCTAGGAGGTGGAGGTTGCAGTGAACCAAGATTGTGCCACTGCACTCCAGCCTAGGCTACAGAGTGAGACCCTGTCTCAAAAAAAATAAGTCAAAAAATAGCAACCTTAATCATACCATGTAGAGATGGGAACAAACTTAGCCTCCCCATGCATATTGCAGTATATCATTTAGTGGAAAAAGAACAGTGCAAAAAAGAATAAATAGTATGAAATAGATACATGTATAGTCATAGAAGTTTCTTAAAGATACCCAAAAACTATTTTATAAAGTAAAAATGTGATTAGATGTTGATTTTTTTAAAAAAATTATTAATGAAAAATAGCAGAAATTGAACACTGAAGATGGGAGCTAAAAGAGATTACTGCTAGCTAGGGGGACATTAGAGAAACTTTGTTAAAGAGTAAACATCTGAATTAGGCTTTGTCATCTAAACACGAACACAGGTAGGAAAGTGTAAGATCTCGTAGCTACATGGGCTCTTTATTTACAACGTTCTATGTTATCATTAAAGTAAAATCTGAACTGTGTTGCTGGAGGAATAGCTAGCTCTTACTAATTTGTAGATTAATAGAATTAAGCAAAAATTATGTTTATTCCATTTGTTAAATATCCTTTAAAACATAGCTTGTACTTGTCTACTTTATTAAGCTTAGTATTGGGAGATAGCTTAAGGATCTCATTGTGCTGTAGATGAAGAAAATATAACAATAGCAGTGGGCAGTTACTATATGCTTGGTTTGTGCCCTATTTTCCCCTAGATTTTGGCTTCAGCCGGATAATAGCACAGCCATCACTCATAAGCGTTGCCTGTCCCTTATAAAAAGGTTGTAAGTGCAGACTTTGTAGTGTTTCTGTGCCTTTTAACATGAAAACTTTCCTGGAAAGTATCATCTAAAATAATGAATAATCATTTTCCAAACTGGATACATGTGCACACCTCCTTTAAAAACAATGTTTCTCAACCTTGATTGAAAATGGAGTCACATCTAGAAGCTTTAAAAAACTGCCAGTGCTTGAGTTCCATTCCCAGAGATTTCCCTGACATGGGTTGCAGACGTTGGATATTTTTGAAGCTTTTCAGTTAATTCTGAAGGACACAGACTGAGACCTACTGTTTAAAGAAAAATACTCAAGACATACCCACCATCATGTAATTTAAATTATTTTTATTATGATAGTTACTTAAATATGGATAAACTAACACTAGATTGAAATTCCTTTTGCATGTAGTATATGGAAAACACATTTACACATTAAAAACAAACCAAAATTAATAAATTCAAAACATAAATGGATAGATGATGATGTTTTGCTAATACTTTTGTGTATGTTTTTCCTTCTGCGTGGTCTAAGTCCTTCCCACCTGTATCAGTCTGGGTCCATTTGGGATTTAGAAACCACAGTGATGTAAACAAGGAAAGTTTAATAAAAGGAATAATTAAACTGTGAGAAAAAGGTAACTCTAGAAAACTATATGGAAGGACCAATTTTGGAAGGAGGCCCCCCTCCAAGGCTAGGGAGGATCACAAGGGACAACTCTGTGGATGGGGTGAGTGGCAGGAGACCTGGGCCCTCAATGTCTATGTTGAGATGGTCATGAGAAAGGTGACACTAGACCACACCAGAACCAGAAGGTTGCTGAGAAACCACCCATGCTGGGCCCATGGCTGGAGCCATTGCATGGTGGCCTCACACCTACATGCCTACCCTCACTTGTCTTAGCAGCTAGAATCAGAAGGGCTGTTTCCTCCTGCAGTGTCCCTAGGGTGCCCTCTACTGAGAAAGCTCCACATTGTACTCACTGAGAAAAGAAATGTTGAAAGGAGCACGGTCATTATTGCAGAGCAAATGTTTAAGAGTGACTTTGGAGCAAATAGTCAATAAATCAATCACTGGCATAACACCCTATGGCAGCCAAAACTTTTTCAAGTTTTCAGCGCTAGCTCATAGGTTGCTGTGACCTCTTCTGAGTAGAATTGCTCTATGTTGTGTTCCAGTGTATCTTTATGGTAGCTCACCATGCTGTGTGGGAATCTTTGTTTTTTAAAAAAAAATTAGCTTATCAAATAAACATAATTATAGTGTACGTAAGAATCACCTCCAAAGATTCTGATTTGGTTGTGCTACGGTGGAAACTAGGAATCTACGTTTTTAATAGGCACCCCAATGATTCTAATGATGGTGGTCCCTGAGGTAGCACTTTAAGTAATATACTGGTCGGTATTTCTCAAATACATACTGGGGGCTGGACTGTAGAAGCTGTATCTTATGCGATATTGTGCCCTTATCCCCAACACAATGCCTCATGATAGGTTGGTGCTCTACAGTGTGGGCTGAATGTAAGACAGCCAGTCACTCACTTGCTGCTGTGCTGCTGGGAAGTATCCTTCCCTAATACCTCACAGTGTCCTCCCGTATCCCATATGCAAAATTCTGACTTAAACTTTGAGCAGCTAATGCTTTTTCATTTTTTGACTTAACATGATCATTATACTTACACTAGTTTTGTTTAATAGGGAGAAAGAGCAAGAAACACAAGAAGAGGAACGTTTGATGGAAGAAAAGAAAAAGAAAAAGCAGGAAGAAAAGAAAAAGAAGGAAGGTGCTCAGAAAAAGGTTTGCTTGAAGTTTCCACTTCATTGTCTTTGTAGTGTCTCATTTGTATCATCATAACCCTTACGTGACAAAGTTTCATTCTGTTACTTTTTAAATCAATATGCCAAGTCTATAATTAGCGAATAATAGATATCCTACTGGTGAAATAAATACAGGTGACAGCCATTAAATGTCTAATTGGAACTCGGCATATTAGAGCTATGTTTTAGGGAAGCTGTGTTTTGGTTTGTGGTGGCAAAGTGTGTCCATGTTATTCTACTTAAAATGAACTGTCTTGAACAGCCATGTCCAATAAATGAAGAAAGGGCCATTCAAGTGATCTTATTAGAAAAGCTGGAAATCATTGTTTTTTTGCAGCTTTGGCAAATGTTCTTTTACAAATCCTATTAGTAAAGATGAAAAATAAAAGCCCTACTGTAAACTTTATACTCAAGCTCGAATTTTATGGCATTTAAAATACCAAGTTACGCCATTTGTCTTTGTTCTTACCTAGTTTTAATCTTGTAGTTTAAACTGTGTACTTGCCAGAGGCTGTTAAAATTATAGCACTTAAATGAGCTCCAGATAGAATTTTTTGTCTTTAGATTAATATTGTCATGTAATCAATGGCATGTAGACAGTTACACATTTTTCCCACTAATTATAATAAATTAATTGGACAAAAACTCATTTTTAAAATTTTCAGTTAAAAGTTTGCTTATAAACTTTCATAGATGTGTACATTCTGTACATTATTATTCCTAAAGAGTTTCTTTTTTTTTTTTTCCAGGCTGCTGATCAAAAAACCAAAGGTAAGTTTATTTATATTTAGGGGGGTATATTTACAGCAGTCTCAAAATTTTTATGATCTAAGCCTGCTTTTGAAACTACTTTTTATTATTCATTGTGAAGTTCCTCATTTATCACTGGTTTTACATCTGCATCTCACTGGCATTTGGGTAATCTAAAAATGCCTGGAAAATGTTGTGTTAGCTTTTCAAACAATGCTTTTAAATTTTCTTTTGGTTCATTTCCACCAAACAGGACTGAACTGATAAAGTTGATTCAGTTTGAATAAGAACAACCAAAGGATATCAGCATTTTTTTTTTTTTTAAGATTCCTATGTGTCTTTACCAGCTATCCTTTATAATAAAAAAGGTATATTCTTTCTGGATTCCCTCTTTGCTTATTAATATGTAAAAGATTTCTCTTTTTATCCTCCATGTCCAGAATTTGCTGGTTACTATAAAAGGTGTTGGTGGAAACACACATTTTTGCTGTAACTCAGGCATCCTGTGATGTGCTAGAGATTCAATCATCATAAACGAACTGAAAGCCACACTCCAAGCCTCTTCATGTTATACATGTATGTTTAGTTATTTTCCAGTGGCTAAGAGCACACACTCAGGAGTCACATACACTAGCTCTGTTTAATTTGGGACAAATTACTTCATTTCTTTAGGCTTCAGGTATCTCATATTTAAAATGAGAAAGGTAGTGAATGGTTCCTACATCATAAAGCTGTTACAAAGACTAAATCAATACAATTATTTGTCAATTAAAAATAAAATGTAAAAAAAAGACTAATTGAGATCATGCAGGAAAATGGCTCAGTACCTAGCATATAATTGGTGCTCAGTAAAAAGGTTTCCTATAACTGTTACTCTGAAGTTTTTATTTTCCACTGGACCATCACATGTACACAACTGTACATGTAGAGACATGCACTCTGACAGCTAATACTCTTGTGTGACATTTTATAGTTTTCAAAGTCAAGGTTATGTATATTATCTCATTTGAACTTCATAGTTGAACAGGAAAGGAATTTGTTTACAGATAATCTACCATGAGTTAAGAGGCTGGTTCTTGGTTAAGAACCGGTTAGTGGTAAAGAAAAGACGTGAGGTAGCCCAGGTCTCTGAACCTCTAGACTAGAGTCACATGAAGAGAGGGAGTTAATGTTCCATGAATATTAAAAAACAGCATAGCAGAAAAGGCGTTTTTCTCTCATACTCTCAGAAGCACCGTGAATTTACGTAATACTTTTCCAGAAGGGTCTAAAAGGGTTATGGTATATAGTCGTATTTGAATATATGATCTTGAATGAGAAACAATGGTTTCTAATAATTGTCATTTCAAAGTATAGAATTATCTGTTCTGGATCATCCATTTTTTCTTTTTTCTTTTTTCTTTTTTTTCAAAATTTTGGGTTTTTCAGTCTGATTCAGCACTGGTTATATTCTTTGTCCTTGTCATTGCGTTTTCCTCAAGTAGTAACAAATTGCTTATTACTGAATAGTGATTGTGAATTACATTGTCCGCCACTTTACGCGGAGCTATTATTTTCTATTACTGTTCTGATGAGAAATTTCTCTCTTTTTTTGAGACAGACTCTTGCTCTGTCATCCAGGCCAGAGTGCAGTGGCACAGTCTCAGCTCACTGAAACCTCTGCCTCTCAGGTTCAAGTGATTTTCCTGCCTCAGCCCCCCTAATAGCTTGGATTACAGACTCTCACCACCACAGCTGGCTAATTTTTTGTATTTTTAGTAGAGACTGGATTTTGCCATTCTGGCCAGGCTGGTCTTGAACTGCTGACCTCAAATGATCTGCCCCCTCTTGGCCTGCCAAAGTGCTGGGATTACAGTTGTGAGCCACCGTGCCCAGCCTCTCTTGAGAATTTTCATTGCTGACTCTAAACGCTACTGGATTTTTCTCTTCTCCTCCTATATCCCCTAAAATACTGTTCCTTTGGGTACAGTTTATCAGTAACTACTAACTAGCCTTAGAATGGGTTGTAATAATAACTAATGTCTTTCTAAACAAAAGATGCTTTTTGAATTATAAATAATGTATCAGTACTGCTGGGTAATTCATCGATGAATATTAGCAGCATCAAGGTTTATGTTTTTCTCAGACTCTACGTTATTACTGGTTCAACTCAAAATTCACTGCCTGAGAAACACTGATTCCAACTTTCTGACTGGACAGTGTCGGGTGACACAGCCTGGGCTGACTGTACATATGGATACATGTTAATAGTACCAGTATTAGTGTTCACACTTGAAATTGATGCTTTTCTAACATTCTAGCATTTTGACTTCTCTCCCCTGCTCCAGATTGTGTGTCCATGAGGGTAGGGGCCACATTTGCCATGAGGCAGCAGCCAGAAGTCTCAGGGCCTGAGTCGTTTGAATATAGGAAAGTGTTTAGCAATTTGAGAGAGTTCGAGAGTTGGATATTTTTAAGAGAGAGGCTACAGTTACAAATTAGATTGTATGATATGCTGAATCAATTAACATTGTAGAAGTTTGAGTAATTTTGGTTTTGATAATTAGCTCAAACTAGACCAAATCAGTTAGAAATTCCCTTGTTCTGCAACGTTACGCACCACTCACCTAGCAGCGTTAGTAAAGCAGTGCCCTAGCTAGCATTATGTTTGACTTGATTTTCTCAGTAACAGAAATGCTTTCAATTTTGATTTGTTTTAAACATTTTCAAGGAACTTTTTAGAATATATACCTTGCTCATCTATTATACCCCTCTACCTTCTCCTGGAGAATATTAATGAGTCTAATCCATTTTTGATAAGTCTTCATTAGAGCATTAATTATAGCTAAAAATTTTTTGCATCTGGCTATAACCATTGAACTTAAACTATGAAGTTTTTTTTCTTTTTTTTTTTTTTTGAGACAGAGTCTCACTCTGTGGCCAGGCTGGAGTGCAGTGGCACAACCTCTGCCCCCTGGGTTCCAACGATTCTCCTGTCTCAGCCTCCCAAGTAGCTAAGACTATAGGCACACGCCACCACACCCAGCTAAATTTTTTTTTCTTTTTTTAGTAGAGACAGGGTTTCACCATATTGGCAAGGATGGTCTTGATCTCTTGACCTTGTAATCCGCCCGCCTCAGCCTCCCAAAGTGCTGGGATTACAGGCCTGAGCCACCGCGCCCTGCCTGAACTATGAATTTTTATTTGAAAGGCTAATGCTGAACTGAAGCTAACTAGAAATATATCTTTTTGAACATCTTAATCTAATACGTAGCATGCTTTCCTGCGCTCCCTCCACGAATTTCAAAAGTAGATTTCTAGAAAGTCTGCTTTGTAAAATTATCACTAAACAGAAATTTTGTTTCTGGCTCTCTTTTCAAATTCTAACCTGTGATGTCTTTGTTTGGGTCATTTTCTTCTTAAAATTCAGGCCAAGTGAGTATATTTGTGTGAAACACTATGTTGCCAACATTCATACCCCCATCCTACCCTGATGTGATTATGGGAGCCACATTTTCTCTGCAGCTAGGAGATATACTTTTATTCAGCCCTGGAGGTTTTCACTCTAATAGTTGATTCACTTTGGCTTTCACCAGTTTCTTCCTTTTGACCTGTCCTTGATTCTCCTCTATGCCTCTGAGTCTACAAACCCTGCAGTAGGGTTGATGTCCTGGACGCCTAAGGAACCTGGGCATGTTTGTATACCTGGAGGCCTTTTCCTTGATTGTCTCGGAGAGTCTTGGATTGCTGTCGTATTCAACTTTTTCTTTTTTTTTTTTAAGACGGGGCTTCACCATGTTGGTCAGGCTGGTCTTGAACTCCCAACCTCAGGTGATCTGCCCACCGTGGCCTCCAAAGTGCTTGGATTACAGGCGTGAGCCACCACCCCCGGCCTTCAACTTTTTCTTATTTTTGCCTCCTGTGATGAAAAACAAAAGTTATATATTCTCATTGAAAATAATTTGAGATTATCTAAAGAGAAATTAGAGTTCACTTGAAATGCCTCTATCCTGAGATAACTTACTTGTTAACAGTTTGTTAGCCATCCTTGAATGCATCTCTCTATGGATTCATATACATAAATATATATTGATAGGGATTCTCCACTGTTCCCCACAGTTAGCACTCCCAGATCCCTATTCCTTCCAGGAGCTGCGCCAAGCAATTTGGAAACCTCTGAAGGAGCCTATTCATAAACAAACTAGTCCTTTGTAAATTCTGCTGAATATTGTCTTTGCATTGGTGATCAAAGAAAGAGACTGCTGAACACAATTACCTGTTACCCTTAGTGAGACCCTAGATGCTCCCATACTGGGGGAAAAGGGAATCAGATAGAATCCTGTTGCCGTTAACTTGTGCATTGTAGTTCTCTGTGGGATAACTAGGGTCCAAGTGTCACTTCAGACTGGCATGGGTTTTGTGACCGCAATGAGTAATCAGTTTTCTTTATTTTTGTCACTGCCATTAATTTAGGCACTGGTAATAGTAGCTTTATTTGTGATGTAACGACCTTGTGAGCCTAGGTTTTCAGTATTGTTTTCTGGGTGTTTTCATGGCTTGAGTGAGGAGTGTGTATGTTTTTTTTTAAATGATTATGATAATTCTCATAAATGTGAAAATTTAATTCATCGGTTTTAGCCAGATTTTTTTAAGTTCATAAAGTAGATATTTTCATACAAAAAGCTCAAAGTTAGTCTTACTGTGTATGAAAGTGAGTATCTTGATGACCCAGTATGGCTCATGCTTTATATCATTAATGAGTTATGATTTTTAAGTCACATACATTTAAATTTGTACTTTTTTTTTGAGAAAGAGAGGGTCTCACACTGTCACCCCGGCTAAAGTATAGTGGCACGAACACGACTCACTACAGCCACCACCTCCGAGGCTCAAATGATCCCCCCGCCTCAGCCTCCCAAGTAGCTGAGACTACAGGTGCATGCCACAGTGCCTGGCTACTTTTTGTTTGTTTGTTTGTTTGTTTGAAGAGAGACAGCGTTTTGCCATGTGCCCAGGTTGGTCTCACACTCAAGCAATCCACT